AGTCTTACACAAGTCCAATAGTGTCAAGGCCATTTGCCTCTCTGAGGGATTTAGTTCAGGCAAGCACTTGTACAGAGACGGTGTGGCATTTGATAGGTTGTGAGATCTGTACAACAGTGGCAAACTCAATATATGGAAGATGTAGTTTCTCTATCACTAGGCGATTTTAAAAAGAGTTTTGACAACCACTTTTTAAGAAGAACTTAATTATTGTTTTGGGAGGGACACCGCAAGAGAGGTCGTTGAGGTATTTCCTGTAGTCCCTTACAAATCCACACATCAAAGATTCTAGGAAATAGTGTAAGTTTGATGTAAATTTGAAGCTTTGTTTTTAGTTACAATATATCATTCATTTTAAAAATTAATAATTTAGTAAATTATTGAAGGAGACAGCTTTGCAGAGGGCATAATATGTTTATTAAAAGGGGGCATAGATTCCAAAAGATTGAGAAATAGTATTTTAGACTATTGTAACTATAATATAGTTTGTGGACAGGAAATATTTTCTGACTAGGTAGGAGGCATTTTAGGGGCCAAAGACAGAACAACATATTTTTTAATTCATTTTTTTCAAAGGTGGGTTGCAAGGATGGGGCCATTTTATAGGTCTTCCTTGAATCCATCTGATATTTGACGTAATCTCAAGGTAATCTGGAATCAGAGTTTGAAGGAAGGGATGGATGCGTGCAGCCCATGAGTTGCTCAAACCTAGACTTGTATGAATCGATCAAGAACATACTGAACATATGCACACACGAAAATGTCGGTGATTGGCAGTAAGATGCTATCAACAACTAAGCATAGCATTCCCAGTAGAGCAGGAGTGTCCAATCTTGGCAACTATAAGACTTGTGGACTTCAACTCCCAGAATTCCCCAGCTAGCCACCCTGAGCTACAGATTTAGCATGTATTTGGTGAGATTTGTTTCACTTCAAAAGACTACTTGTCCAGCAAATTCAATTCAACATTTAACCCACCATTAGTATGTCAGTACAAATCCAACCTTCTGGTCCATTGCACTGCAAGCACAAACCATCAACTGTTTTTGAGGGGCAGGGATTGATTTGAGTGCTGCCATTGAGAAAGCAGTATGATTATCTCTGGAGACTTTCTGAGCAGTTTGTGTTGGAACTGAGGTGTGCACAAAAGAGCCAAAGGTATTGTAACTTGGAATCATTATTTGTGAAATAACTGCTGACACATTCTATTGACTTTTGAGGTTAGTGAACTCACTAGAAATATCAATCCTAGTACGGGGGAAAAATGGATTGATTCATGAGCGATGATGTTATCATCAAAGGAAATGGCCTAAACGTGGTTCATTCAAACAGCTCAGTCTTGTCATCTTGTCATCTTCCTAGCCACTCATTTCCAAATGACTCTAGTAAAAAAAAAAAATCTATCAGCTGGAAATATCTCATAACGTTCAGTGTGAAACCCACTGGGGCAATTGCTAAGGTTTAGAGTTTGTGAAAACAAATGTTTCTGATGTTTGCAGAAACTCAACATTATCTGAATGCCAGTGGTGGGATTCAAATTTTTTTACTACTGGTTCTGAGGGCGTGGCTTGGTGGGCCTGGTGGGGGAAGGATACTGTAAAATCTTCAGTCAGAGGTAGCATTTGTTGGTTCTCCAAACTACTCAAAATTTTCGCTACTGGTTCTCCAGAATTGGTCAGAACCTGCTGAATACCACCTCTACTGAGTACCCTCAGTAGATTACATATGTACATTTGTGGATGGTATGATTGCAGCGATACTCTCATCCAACAAGCTTTGTCACTTGTATGCCTCTGTGATTTGGAATCAGTTTTGACTCTGGCTGACTCTCTGGACAAGTCCCTGAAATTTTTTGGGAATGTTTGCAGGAACTGTAGTCCAAAACATTTGGAGGGTACCTGTTCTGTATCCTGTACAGATGCAGATAGATAACTCTACAAAACATCCATAACAAATTACTTTTATTGGTTCATTCTGTATCCTCATAACTCACATTTGTGATGAAGTTCTTCTTTAATGACCAATCCTTTGCATATCTGTCTTGTAGGTAAAAGATGATTTATCTTCTATCTTTTTTCCCTCATGTTGTAGCGATAAAGTAGAAGAGTTACCACGAGTCCATGAGTTCAGCCAAGAGTGAGGAAAACCTCCCCCAACCCCTCGAGGGTCAATTTAGTGACCAATCAGGATTACAGATGTGGTCACGTGATATGGACTACATTTCCCAGGATACCTTAACTACATTTACCATGATACCTTCCCTTAAGGGGATAGCTCACAATTGCTACCTAACTATTCAATTCCCATACACTGGCTGGACAACACAGTACCCCCAAAAGTGCTTTTCCAAGAGGCAACTGGACTTTCTGGCTTTTCTTTGAAGATGTTTCACTTCTCATGCAAGAAGCTTCTTTCTTGGATGAGAAGCGAAATGTCTTCAAAAAAAAGAAAAGAAAAATCAAGAAAGTCCAGTTGCCTCTTGAAAAAGCACCTCTGACAACCGTGACCTGAATGACTGAGAATCTCCATAGACATTTGGACGGTACCAGTTTGGGAAAGGCTGATCTTGCAATTTAGTGGTAAATATCCCATGATGGTGATGGTGATGGTGTTGCCATTCACTACCCTTGTTATTACTGCCATTTATGTCTCCTATTGACTTTTTTTTTTAAAGATTTACTGTCATCTTCAACACACACCAGTATTCTGATATTTACTGTACAGAATACATTATATTTATTTATACTGTATGGGAAATGGAGCCTAGGATGCACTGAGCTATATTGATTGTTCTCATCTTACAAGAGTAGCCCAGGAATAAGCAAGAACAGCAGTTCCATTGTGTTGTCACTCCCCCACCGTCCTTTCTACCTATAGTGCTAATCTCTTTCTCTTTGAAACAACTGCAAAAGTTGGCAAAGATGGGTACAGCAATTGCTGTCTTGGTGCACAATGATATATGGTCCCTAGATAGCAAGGATATTTCCAGAAATAAATACACTTATTATTAAAAACAAACAAACAGCAAAGCCAAATTTATTCAAAGAAGTTTCCATTCAAATGCAGATAAGTACTTTTCTTCTATCACTATATGGCTCTGTCAGGACCCTGATAGGCATTTTATTAAAGTGCCACTAGCTTTTGTGAGACAAAGCTCATTTCATCTGCTGCAGCTCATCAGGCAGCTGTAATTCACAAAAACTTATGTAACAGTAATCAGATTTTGGTCTACCATGGACAACCATGACTCTCCTTTATCTTGCCTAGATGACTCTGTGGATCCTAAATTGTTTTTCTCTCCTGTATTAAACCAGAAAGCAAATGCTTCAGCATTCGCAACTATTGAGAATAGACTTAAGAATTCATCTGACCTAATAAATCCTGCTGACCTTGGAGGTTGAAAATGTAATGCATTTACTTATATAAGCATCCCTAGCTAAATGATGAATGGTGATGGAGGTGGATGCTGGGAATTGTAGTTCAGGTGTTGAGGAGGCAGCTACAAACTATGTCTATGGATATTTCAGTCATCCAGGTCATGGTTGTCTCAAAGGGGCTTTTTCAGAAGGCAACTTTTAAAATTTTTTTTATTTATATTTATTATTTTATTTATATTTTTCAAAAGGCAACTTATTTTTTATTTTTATTTTATTTATATGTATTATTTTATTTATATTTTTCAAAAGGCAACTAGAAGCACACCAATGTACCTACCGTCCCTGTCCTATTGTTTCTTTTTATTTTTCTTATATGTATCCATTTCATGTATGCATAACTATGTTTATACTTATACCTATTATCTTGTAAGCGATTGACAAATCAAATAAATAAAAATAAATAAATAACTGGTCTATGTTTTTTTTTCCCCTTGAGGAAGACAAAGACATTTTGCTTCTCGTCCAAGAAGCTTCAGAGTTTGGGCTGCATGGGGTGAGGGGAAAAGGGAGGATGAATTCTCAGAAGGATTAGTTCTGAGAATGCTTCTGTTTTCCCCTCACCACCCACTCAGAACTGATGAAGCTTCTTGAATGAGAAGTGAAACCTCTTCTTCCTCAAAGGAAAAAAACATAGTCCAGTTGCCTTTTGAAAAAAAACACCTTGTTTTTTGTTCAGTATGTTCAGGAGATGAAAGAGGGTGATAAGAAGGGTAAAAGAGTCCATAAGCCAAGAAGAATGAAGGTTTCAACCTCAGCTATGTATTTTCTCTGGTTTGTTGCTGATTTACCATTGAATGATGTAAATTAACCAAAGCTTTTCTCTTCTCTCCTGGTCTTTCATAAGGTAGTTGGGAAGACCCTGGCCACAGCCATCATTATTAGAGCAGTCATGAAACTTCTTGGTGTGAAATCGGGCAGATTCTTGGTCCTCTCCAAGGTGAGAAAGAGACAGATACTAGAAAGCAACAAAAATATTATTTATTTTAAAAAATAACATCCGAATAATTGTCTTAAGTCCTTATTATCTTGATATTTGTATGACCTTCATCTCAAGAGCTATTTTTGATTATGGAAAAAAATTCTGCAATTGTATAAATGATTCTGAATGCTTGGGCTATTAATGACTACCGACTTATTTTTATAGTATGTATGTATTATCATGTAGGAAATAATGTCAGAGTCAGACAGTTTGACAGTTTGGTGGCAGTAAACATTCTAGGTAGCTTGATACATTTTTATAGGTCAATCTAAAAGATTTCGCAAATGACTATAACAGATGCACCTGGTTGGCAAAAGAATTATCTTGTGTCTGTGCTGTGGCTGATGCGATAACATTTCTGGAAAGTCTGTTCTGACTCAATTTAAAATAACAACCCATATTTATGAAGAACTTATCCAATCTTAAGAATCTAGGTAAGCTCTCTTACACAAAATTGGACCTCAGCACTGGAGAGGCACAACGTTTGTCTGATCTACTCCCAAACTACTTGCAAATTGTCCTGACATACCTGGAAAATCTGGATGTTAAAATCTGGATGCAATTGAATGAAATGAAGTCATTCATTATCCTTTTGCTCCTTCTGTCTCTGAAATCTGGACCCTAGAGTGTTTTCCTCTCCTGTACCATATATGCAGCCAAAGTATAGCAGCCAGCATAGTTAAAAAGATGGCTATTTTCAAGATGAGCAGGATAAAATCAAGGCTTCTGAGTTGATTTCTAAATAGAGAAAAGTTCCAATGTTTTATTTTAAAATGATCTTCATTATGACAAGTAAAATGAATATAGATAAGCCACTCATTTGTTTCACTTTTAATTTACATTGATCTTTTAGTACAAATAGAACAAGTGAGGTCCCATATTTGCTTCACCATTATGAACTATTATTTTGCTGTATTTATTGGCTGTCCAGGATAAGATTATTCTCCTGTACTCAAAACATTATTATTATTTTTTGTTTTACACATCGTTTGTGCCTGCACTCAGACAATGTAAAGAACCATCTCCTTTTATATAGATCTGCTTATAATTTATGGTCATTATTAGAAATTCTGCTACACGTCTCACCATTTAATTCATGTCATCTAAGTGGTTTTGGAAAGAGCTAAGAATCAGGGTGCAGACAGGTCCTAGAAGTCAGATTAGTTTACTAGGTAAGATACCGAAAAACAATCCTGCCTCCAGATCAGGAAGAATCTTTCTTAAAGGATGAATATAAAAAGATGAAAGGGGAATAAAGTAGTTCTCGTCAATGGATCTAATACATCAACTTGGACAGGTGGACATAAGTTGCATCTGGTCAGAGTAGCTATTACATGAGCTGAAAATATAGGACATTGTGATCCGTCCTTTGCAAAGTCAAATCATTTCCTTTTCCACATATGACATGTTGGCATCTTTGGCCACTGTGAGGATGGAGATTCAATTGCACAGTCCGTCTCAGCTGCCTTATAGATCCAATGAAGGTCGCTGAGAGGATTGTTAAGTATTGGAACAAGACTAATATGGCCCCCCTCACCTACACATTAAGTTAACACAACCACAAGGGTCTCCCCTCCCTCTCCCCACCACCCTGTGAGAGGCTCATTAAAAAGGGGGGGTGGGCAGGACAGAGAGCAGATAAGAAAGTGAGGGGGGAGAGTGAGGACGAAGAGTGGACAAGCAGCATTGGAGTCAGCGCAGCCCACAAGTAGATTTTTTTTCCCGACTGGGAGAAAAATGATTCACTCTAGTCTATACGAATGAAAGAAAAGTGACAATTCCCTCGCCTGCCCCCCACATCCTCCTGTGTTTTATAGTCACTTCTTGCCAGTTACCCTTTGGCACAGCTGGCGCGCACAGATCCTCCGACTAAGCTAACCTTCCTTTTGGCGTAAAGGATTTAGATAGGGTGAGAAGTGGAAGTTTATTCTTCAAGAACTGGGAAAAGGGGAGAAAGAGAGAGAAGGAGGTAGAGGGAGGGACAATCATTGTTGCCACTGCTATGCGGGAAGGACACACCTTCCTTCCTTGCCAGAGTTAGGCTGTCACGGTGGCTGATAAAAATAGCTTGCCACCAGATGGTCCTTAGTCTATTAATTTTCATGAACATGGAGAAAAGTTTTATTCTGTTGGGTGTTTAGAATCTATTTGGAAGCTATTTGGTTGGTGGCGATTTTTAATTTTATTTTTAATTTTAGTGTTTATTTTTGAGTTTGATTACAATGTTATAAGGTAGCATTCTGGAATTTTATGAGGATGAATGGTGCTGTTTTATTTGTATTTATGGACTGTTAACCGCCCTGAGTATTGTGATTATATCTATTTTAACTACAATATCCCCCCTCTCTCTACCCTATCTATCTATCTATCTATCTATCTATCTATCTATCTATCTATCTA